TTTTTTTTCGAATAACGTATCATAAACAAAAAGGAGAAAACGGTGGTTTGCTATTCATGTTCGAAGTTTGCACTTTGGGAAGAAATCGATGGATTATATGATATATCTATGGAGTAAATAATGGAAATGGATCATGTGATATGGATATAGATTTAGGATTTGGACTTTTTGGATATTGGACTATGAAAATTAATTGGATTAGCTCACTAGGCTGTTGGCAGCAAGCAATAGACTTGGAAGAAAATTAAGTTTTCAGCAAAATAAAATAAAAAAAAATCCAAAAAATTGTGAGGTCATTTGACCCTATATGACCCCATGTGGGTCTCTCCCTGGCCTTAAAAGCTTGTATGCTTTTTATTTGGGGTGTTTCTCGTGTATACATGCATGCACTAAAAATTTCATGTAAAAATATATATGTAGCTAGTAGAAAATTATCATGTTAAAAATGTATAAATATGTCCAGAACATCGAATCATATTTAAAATATTAAAGGGCGTTCATTTTCTAATGGATCTCAATTTCCTTCTTTTTTTTTTTTTTTCATTTGCCATGCCAGCCCTATCTTTGAGCTTGTATTCTACCCTGTCTCAGTAGCAGGATTGTTTTATTTATTAGTTATGATTTTGAGATTTGATAGGAATTGGTTGGCACGTGTAGATTGGATAGGGATCAAGCAGCTTTTGATTGTATGTAAAATTTGGATTGATAATTTTTGGGAGAACGCGGCACTTAGCAGATTTTTGTATCTATCAAAATTCAATTTTCCCTTTCCACTTTAAATACCGTGCAAAAGTACTCATTATCTACCCAAAAAAGTATAGATACATATATACAGCGATAGTAACACCATAAGTAGAAGGTAAAGAATTGGAACATGATTTTGGTTTTGTCTTCATAATTGAATTTTAGTGTCTCCATAATTATTAGTTGATGCAAAAGAATTAAGGAAATATAGAAATTTTTTAATTTTGATTAATGAAAAGTAGAGCTGGACATGGTCCGGTTCAATTCTCTTTAGAATCGAATCAAACCCGAATTTTTGAATATTTAGTAAGTGAAACCATCGGATTCAAATTTAATTATGGACCTGTTCGGGTTCAGATCCATTCTATTCACTTCGGTTCTTGAGTTCTATAAAATAATTAATTTTTTTTAATATTTATAACAACGCTACATCAATTCAACTAATGAAATATTCAATCTTAACTCTTGCAAACTAACGTAGTTCAATCTTGTATATCTTTCGCGTCTCTCTTTATTGAATTCTTCATAAACTTGATTGTTAAAATCACATGAAGAGAAAGATAGCAAGTTCACAATAATGAAGAGAGACAATCTTAACTCTTGCAAACTAACGTAATTCAATCTTGTATATCTTTCGCGTCTCTCTTTATTGAATTCTTCATAAATTTGACTGTTAAAATCACATGAAGAGAAAGATAGCAAGTTCACAATAATGAAGAGAGACGTGGCCAAACTTTCAATTTGATTTCTACAAAACTATAGCAACGAAACTACAGTAGAATAATAGTTTTGGGTAAAATTTAAGAAAAACACAGATCTCTTATTTGGTTTTTCGATTTTTAGTTTAGAACCGAGAACCAAATCGAATCCAACCTGTCAGTTTTCTATTTAGATACCTCGTTTCGATATTTAACTTAAAAAGAACTGCTCGATTCGTTTAGATTTGGTTTAGTTCGATTCGATTCGATTCGAGAGTTTTGTCTAGTCCTAATAAAAAGACAAAAAATAATAATAATAATAATGCTATGATCTACTATTGCTGTATTGGGCCATTTTGTCAAAGTTGGCATTTCATTGAAGATAATGTATTGAAGACATGTTTTAGGCCAAAAGACGATGTTCATTTCTGTGACAATGAAGTTTTGTAATTTACAATTGTTCAAGGGAAGAAAGAAGAAACTTAACATTAAAACGCAAGACGCCCGACACACTTTAGGCACGAGCTATTAGAGAAGTATCTAGCCACCCGAGGTAAAACTAGTGGTGCAAAGGATATGAATGAGGTAGTCTCAACCTTATTGGCAGCCGCAGTGTGAGGGCTGAATTTCTGAGATATGAAATTGGACTCTTTGTGGGCACCAGTGTATAGGCAAGCTCTTAATCTTTGACCTGTTGGGGCACATCCCGTGATTTATCTCTCTCACGATACTTCAGGGGAGGGGAGGGGAGGGGAGGGGAGGGGTGGTGAGGGTCATCAAGGTTGGGGTTCAACCTGTTTATTAGAGAAGTATCCCATCAATTTTATATATTGATGAAAGCCTTTTTCTGATAGTACCGACAAAAACCTTTTGCTTAAGGTATCGTGTGATTAAGATAAAAATAATCAGAAATTTGGTAGGTTGAAATCAAGCAAAAATTATTAAGCAAAACAAACGAAAAATGATGGTTAATGAAGGTAGCAACGGTGATGGTGGTGGAGATAGTGTTTGTAATTTATAGACAGACGGAGTTTCGGATGGTTAATGTTGGTGACAAATGATGGTGTCGGAGGCCATGACTGTAATCGATAGAGAAAGGGTATTTCTAGCTATGGTTTGCCAAATAACTAACTTTTTTTTTTCTTTTTTTAAACTTTTTAAATTAAGGTTATATTTGTAAATTAATTGGTGGTGTATTCATAAAAAATAATGTTTTAATGGTAGTTGTATAATGTTGTGTAATAAATAAAAGTCTTGACGTTACAATAATTTTTGTTGGAAATAATTTGTTATCTAAGGCCACATGTGCGTCTAGATGTATAGCATATCTTATTTTTGTTTACTTTGGGCCCCTAGCCGTATAGCATATCTTATTTTTGTTTACTTTCTCCAAAAATGATCATCTACTGAAAGGACATTATGCAGTGGCTATTTTAGGGAATTTCCATAATTTTTTGTTGTATAGAATATAAAAATTACTCCATTCCGTCCAATTTATATAACTGACTTTCCTTATATTTTTTGTCTCAATTGTATAGTCTCGATCCATTATTGAGAATGTTTTATTTTGTTCGTTTACTAATATATCTTTATTTAATTTATTTAGTTATAATCAATTTTTTCTCCTAATCTTGAAATTGTAAAAATACAAATAGGGGAAAATTAGAAAAAAAAAATTGGTAAAAATTACTTTTTTGATAATATTAAATAATTTTATTTTTTAATTCGTGTGAAAAATAAAACAATACTGTATACCAAACGCGAACCTTCCCTTCTTCCCCCCCGCCCCCTCCCAAAAAAAAAAAAAAACCCTAAATTTATTTATCCATCCAAATTCAGCTGGCAAAATTTGCTGCATTTTCTTCCAAAGTGGTCGGAGACAATGGCCGCAGACAGAGGAGTGCTTGAAAATGAAGAATTCGTGTACAGAATCAGCACATCGGAAGAGTGGGAGGACCTTCAGAGAAGCGAAGCTACATTTGGTGGAGATATCGACAAATCATCTGGTTGTATCCATCTTAGCAAGCTTCACCAGGTGTCTTCCACTTTCGCTATCATAAAAATAATAATTGGATTCAATTCATCAAAGTGATAACCTAAATCTGCACGTTATCTGGAATTTTTAGTTTTAAATTGTGCTGTTTTATGACAATTGGGTATTGAGGAAGTTTATTTGCTCTTGGATCTTCTTTATCATTAATTCTTCCACAGAATTGGGATAAATTTCCTTATTTCGGATTGCGGCACAAGTTTATGATATATTTGCTATAGTGCTAAAAGATTGCCAATGCAGAGAACATTCCGCATGAAATCATGAATCAATTCAGCGTTCTGTTTCATTTTCGAAATTGGCATTTGACAGCTCATGCAGATAAGCTGAAAAAAGTTTAGAATACTAAAAAATGGGTACGGTCTAGAAAGACGGCATTAATGTTGTATGGTATTGAAATAGAGCTCTAGCTTATGACATTAAAGTATAGCCCATACCGAGAACCAGATTTAGTGAACCAATCTTTTTATCATCAGACACACTGTTGTTTTTCTTGTTCCTTTCTAATTTCTTACTTTTGCCTCATGAGCGAATTACTTGTAAAAATAGGCTACCTGTTCTTGATCTACTTCAGAATATGATAACTACAACTAAAGCATGACACAACAAAGTTTTCACTTCACATAAATTATATATCTACTCTTGAAATTAATTTCTCGACTCTTAGGCTTTAGCTTATTAACCTATTGACGACAAAGTTGTTTGTTTCTCTTTAATGGGTATGATGAGGTAACATGTTTCTTAATCAGCACTATTTGATCTCATTGTATCATGTCCTCTCTTTTATCGTTCCAAATAACTTGTAATATATAACATTTCTAAATTGTAGGTCCCGTCGACTTTACAGAACTTTTTCCAGAATGTTAATGGAGATTTGTACCTACTCCAAGTTGCTGCTGTAAAGGTAAAACCATAAACTTCTGAGCCATATAGCATTATAGCTGCATCGATACAAGTCTTTCTAATTATCTGGACTGGACATAATGTAGGATTTTATATTCTGTATCAGAAATTGTATTCTTTCGTTAAGCATTTCTACATGAGTTGAGAAATGCCCAAATTGTCTATGATGGCTCCCCACATGCTACTGTGGCTTCACCACTGGTCTAACAGTGATCATTTTCAATATCCTGATTGCAGCTCGGAAAAGGATTGATTTATGAAGCTGTTGGAAACTCCGACGTTTTTCCTCATTTCTATGGCCCATCTCGAAGTTTTAGCCCTCTTCCACTAGATGCCATCACAAAAGCGGAGAAGCTGATTCTATCTGATGGCAAATTCAGTTGCAGCTTGCTGAACTGAATGGGGTCGGGTCCACGTTTGTCATATAACCGTTGGTTTTATGCTGTGTACTTGTCGTGTTAAGTTATATAATAAAGGATGATATGGAATGATTTGCTTCAGTTGATTTCGGCATTTCTTCTCTGTACCTTTAAAACATTGCGAATATTATAAGCTTGTAACAATATTTTGGCGTCGATCCTGAGTATGTCTAATATTTGCAGGTCTTTCAGAATTAAGTTTCACGATCATTTATTAAGTCAACTATAGATGAACGAGTGTGTATGAATTTGAATTCGATTAAAATCTAGGTCTTTTTACCACACTACAACGCCAAAAGCAATATCAGGGAATGAGAACAGGCACACCAGTAAGGAAAATTTGTGCGCTGTTAGATAAAAATAATAAATAAAACAAAGTCTGCGTGACATTTTTGTGAATTAAAAATTGGAAAAGGATTATCCGCTTCCCTGTAATTTCGCGATGAGATTGGGTAGAAGGGTTTACTTGAAGAAAGTAAAGGGGCTCAATATCATCTCACAGCAACTGATATCTCTTGATAGCGATTGGGTACAATAATATATTTTGTTCGAGTTTTGTTAATAACTTAATTTCACTTCATATGCACTCAGTCCATTGGAGAATTTTTTTTTTCTTATTCTTGGATGATATAAAATAGCTTTTGTTGATTGTTATTTTCAATTGGATGTGATACTGAATTATTGTTGATTTTAAGGTAGCAGAATAGAATTTGTTGTGATTTAGGTAAAGCTTTTGTTGATAACTAATTACATAATTATTATAAAATTTCGATTCAACTAATTATTACTATTTAACTTCGATCCAACTAATCATTTGTTTCCTTTTAATTAAAATCCCGAGTTCTTCATATTTGTCTCTACGGCACAATAATCTACTTTTTCTTTGTTCCTTGTCTTGAAATGGATTCAGATTTGTTAGTGAATCTGCAAAAATAGCTATCATTAAAGATTAAGATCCTGTCAAGAAAAAAATGACATTTTTTGGTGATATTTTTACATTAATGTTCTAAAAGGGTTGTTTCCCATGTGCTCCTTATGTGTATTTTTCATCCTGAGAATTGTGTTAACAAACTCTTAGTTTGCTGATACCAAAACCACAAAATAAAAACTTCATTAAAGTTATTTTTGAGCATTGAGTGAAGTTATTCTTATATGAAAAGTTAATCTCATTAATTTCTGCCATATCTGAATGTTGATGAGAGGCAGATTTATGGAATGAAATGCATAATGCTGACACTGACAAAATCAACAATGCAAAAAGTATTTTCAGCCTCTCACAAGTTTCTCCACATGTTAAAAATATCAGTCTATGCATTAAATACAAGTTTCTTTCTGCCTAAACTATACTACCTGAGAACTATATAAGTCTGCTGATTAGTGTGTTAAGTTTAGTTTTCTCACGAGTGAGTAATATGGATGAGAAGCAAATCAGATTTCCCTCTCCTTTACTCACTCTTATAATTTATTTCTTCCTTCTCCCTTTCGTTCTTTCACAGTGTAATAGAAATCCAGTTATTTTCAACTTTGGCGACTCAAACTCTGATACTGGGGGGTATGCCGTTGCACATGGATTAAACCTTGGAGATCCAGATGCACGTACCTTCTTCCATCAACCAACTGGCCGCTTATGTGATGGAAGATTAATTATCGATTTCCTATGTAAGTTAGTTATTTTCATTCTTCAGGCATTACTTATTTATCAGATCATCTCCAATCGTTTAGCAGCAACCAAGAAGCCCATCCCTCCCCTCAAACAGTAACTGTTTTTTCTAAATATTATGAATAAGTATGACAAATACTCTGTTTTGTATTTAGCGTAAGCATCATTTTTTTTTTTTAAATTTAATTTCACTGTCTATCCACACGTGACTCCGGAGTGGTCTCTCAACTCAACGCCTGTCTCTGTTTTGTTTTTCCATTTTCAATATTTGGTAGGTAATTTTACTCTATGGACATTGATCTATTAAAAAGCTATTATCATCAAGCCCTGGACACTGCACTCTGTAACGTATGATATTCTCTACCGGACGATACAGGTGAAAGTCTGAATACCAATTATTTGACTCCTTATCTTGAGTCACTGGCACCCAATTTTACAACTGGAGCTAACTTTGCAATATGTGGCTCATCGACGCTCCCTAGATCTGTTCCTTTCAGCTTACATATTCAATTCAGTGAGTTCAAACGTTTCCAGAACCGCTCCTTGGAGCTAGGATCTAAAGGTATGATTGTCCTATGTAGATATTTTCAAATTAATTCTTGTTTGGATTATTGACATAGAACGATTCATTAGGTTTCAAAAACTTAGTTGGGGAGAAGGACTTCAAGAATGCAATTTACACTATCGACATTGGGCAAAATGATCTGGCAAATGCCTTTACCTACCTTTCATACGCTGATGTTGTTAAAAAGATACCTTCCTTCATTTCTGAAATTAGAGAAGTTATGCTGGTGAGTCTATTCTTTCTATTAAATTCTTAGCCTTGATTTCTAATTTTGAAATCTAATACAGGGGATATATGAAGTTGGTGGGAGGAATTTCTGGGTGCATAATACGGGGCCACTGGGCTGTTTGCCTGAAAAACTTGCCACTAGAAACACCAATGCCAACGATTTCGATGAATATGGATGCATTAAGTCTCTTAATGAAGCTGCAAAAGCGTATAACATGATGCTAAATGCTGTGTGTGAACAGCTACGATCGCAAACAAAAGGCGCCACTATTGTCTATGTGGATATCTACTCTATCAAGTATAATCTCATTTCCAGTTCTGCCTCATACAGTGAGTATGATATTTTCAGTTTCATTTTCATTCTCATTTTTCATTTTCTTGGTTCAAGTCCATTGACAGTACGACTATATTTAGGTTTTGAGAATCCTTTGATGGCATGTTGTGGTTATGGTGGAGTGCCGTACAACTACAATGCCAACATTACATGCCGGAGCAGTGGATTCAGCGTATGTGAGGAAGGGAGTCGTTATGTAAGCTGGGATGGAATTCATTACACAGAAGCTGCCAATGCAATTGTTGCCTCCAAAATACTCTCCACTCATTATTCTACTCCTCCCTTGAACTTTAACTACTTCTGCAGCGCTTGAGGCTTACTGTCCTTCTGTTGTCTATTTAAATGCGCAAAATATATTATTATTAACTTTGATCATTTCTTTCCATCCTACGTAACTCCTTTATAATTATACTCTCGGAACTGCAGCCCCCTTTCTACTCAATCCACATGGACAAGATACAAGAATGATGCCAAGAACAGAATTTGCATCCCACAAGAACTCAAGTTATCTTCAGTCAAAAATAAATAAAACTAGAGTAAAAAAAAAAAAAAATTCAAAGTCAGCAATAGATTTGTACATTTGTTGATTTATTCAAATATAACGTTGGAGTTTGGGAAGAAGTGATGAAGGCTTGGTTAAGACCCTAGTTAGTAGGTGGTGTAAATGGAATTCATGGGCGTCAAATTTCAGTTATGAATCCATTGACTCGATACAAAATTTACAGCAGTCACGCTTGCATCTGTATAAAATATATTCTTATGTTGTATTGATTTTTTTATTTTTATTTTTATTTTTATTTTTATTTTTATTTTTTGACGCATGGAAGTGAAAGGAAACGGGTTCGACCTTGCATCTCCAATAATCACTATTAGTATTGTTCTTCGTCTAATTTTGAATATCGCGTTTATTGATTGTTGGTGCAAAAGAAAGCCAGTAATTTTCAATTTTGATGACTCCAATTCTGACAAGCTGTGGAAAGGCCGTAACTCCACGTCCTCCTCTATGAATTTAACCGAGATGGAAAACTGGTCTTAGATTTCCTTTGTAAGCTCAGTATATAAATAATTAAATCAAATTGTTGTCAGTTTCACACTTTTTGTTTGATTATTCTAATGTCTCATTGCAGGTGAAAGTTTGAGAAGCAATTATCTAAGTCCTTATCTCGAACTTCAGCAATGGAGCTAATTTTTCAATAAGTGGTTCATCTACTCTTCCTAGATCTATTCCATTTAGTTTACATGTTCAAGTTGCTCAGTTCAATAGATTCAAATGAATTAGCTGCTCAAGATACAAATTAATTAGAATTTTGTGCATTTTTTTTTATTTTTTATTAAGTAATATGAATAAATGATTTGGTCGCGATGAGTATGAATGACCTATGGGCAGCATTTCAGCACTTTTCATATGGTCAAGTTATTCACAAAATTCCTTCTTTTATTTCTGAAATAGAAGATGCATCTTGGTGAGTTTAATATCCCCCATTTACTGTTGAGAATAATGCTTAACACCTTCAAACCCAATGATGGAACCCAATAGTTGAGCCTAAGTTTGTTTGTGACCCAATTTGCTCCCACTTGTGCAGACTCGTGTTTCCTCCAAATGCGACTTTAGTTTGTTTTAACTGGATGGATCGGATGGTGCCAAGTGGAGTCGGCTGAATCGTTGGATGCAAGTGACCTTTAATTATACTTAGCCCTAGACTTTTCACTTACCATTAAGCGAGAGACTTCTAGGGTTATCTTTCTTTTTGTTCTCTGTAATTTTCTCTCTCAAAAAACTTCTGGTTTTCTGTCTATAATCTCTGAATGATTAGATGTTCTTGGTGAGATCTAGTTTGTGTACTTGGTGTAGAGATTATATCCGTTCTTGGTTAAACAGTGAGGTTCGATTACTTAGTGTAATCTGTTTGTTCGATCTGTGAGGGAAAAAATAGGGTCTGAGGGTTGATCTTTTTAGATCTGTAGTTTGTAAACCTTGTACTGATATTTTATTGGTGGTTTCTAGTGGATTAGAGCGTTAACCACTTTGATGGAACTGTAGGGCTGGGCAAATCTCCCGAACCAAACCGACCGAACCGAACCCGAACCGAACCGATCCGAACCCGACGGTTCTTGTCAAATTAAATACCCGAACGGGTATCTGAATTGAGAACCGACGGGTACGGTTCGGTTCTCGGTTCTAGACCAAGAACCGAAGAACCGAATAAGAACCGAATCTTTCTAATTTTTTTTTTATATTGAGTAAATCAAATTATTTTAATTTTAATTTTTTCTAAACAAATTAACAAATTAATGATTTCTAAATCCAAATTTTTGGCCCAATAATTTGTTTCATTTCTAATTTTTTAATTTTTGGCCCAATTACCCATTTTATTGTTTCATTTCTTAGCCAAACAAGATCAAATCCACTAAATAACCCTAAACACCTACAATAAAGTGCATAACGTTGTCTCGACTCTCGCACTCACTCTCGCAGTCTATCTAATATTCCAAAACTTATACAATCGTCGGCCGACACTCTGACCTCCGATCGAAGCCGTGACTTTCCCCGACTGAAGCTTTGATCGTAGCGATCATTTGAACAAGGTAATTTACTAATCTCTGACATTCCAAAACTATTGAATGTATCATTAGTCGTATTTATATAACGTTGTTATAAATGTTAAAAAATTTAATTATAGTACAGAACCGAACGGAACCGAACCGAATCGAATGGAACCGAACCCGAACGGTTCTATAATTATATTTGGACCCGACGGTTCCATTTACTAGATACCCGAAAAGTTTGGTTCGGTTCGGTTCTAAAGAGAACCGAACCGAACCGACTCACGCCCACCCCTAGATGGAAGCTCAACGTGGTGACGTAGCCCATTTATGGATGAACATCTGGGCCTACGGGCGAAAAATCCTTGTGTTCTTTTATTTTTTCTATGTTTTTCTTGGATTATTGGGACTGCTAATACTAACAGTGGTATCAGAGCATCGTCGATCTGATATATAATCCAGTTCTTTGGTTTCTTGTGCTCTTCTTGAGGTCAAAGGCTTAGATCTTTATGGATCTACATTAGTAAGGGTTCAATTCACTGCTTCTGGTGGAAAGTAAAATAGTTTTGGTTTTCACTATTTTACATTGACATACTGAGACCCCTGGGTAACGAGTATTTGAACTCTTTCTTTATTTGGCATCTGAATTACTGTGTATATATATATACTCAAGAACCCTTGGTTGAAACCCTCTTTGATCCACCTCTGTCTAAGGTTCCTTTCGAGAACCCAAGAAGCTTAGGGGACAAGATTAGCGGCTTTTTCAAGGTTACTTTAATAGCCAAATCTTGTTATGTGTTATCTGTCTCAGTGTGTCTAAATTTCTGCGCACTTGAGTGTGAATTGGTTTGCTGCACATTAATATGTTGTGTCGTGTGTGCACATTTGTAAAATCCTATTCTGCATCTCTTGTACTTTGAACTTTTAAACTATTTCAAAGCTATTGAAACTAATTTTTTGTTTTCAAAACTAAAAATGACAAGTACAAAAGTTGATATAGAAATCTGGAATGGAAAAGGGGATTTTACTCTTTGGAGTCAAAAAATGAAGGCACTTCTGATGCAACATAAATGTGTGAAAACACTTGATGAGTTTTGGGAAGAAGAAATCATAGAAAGAAAAAGAAATAAACAAATTGATACTACATGGAGTCTGATTTTCTTACACCCGTCTAATAGTGTCATTAGAGAAGTAGGAAAGACTGAGACCGCTGAAGAAATTTGGACAAAACTTGAATCCCTTTATAAAACAAAATCACTTCCCAATAAATGTTATCTTTGGAAACAATTCTTTATCTTCAAGTTTGACCCACATCTTGATCTTGAAGCAAATCTTGACAGATTTAACAAATTAACTCAAAATCTCACAAATAGTAGTGAAACACTCTCCGGTGAACAACAGGCTATAGCCTTATTATCTGCCTTACCTGAAAAATATAAAGACTTAAGAAATGCTCTTGAATAAGGAAGAACTTCCATTACTGTGGATGTTATTGTTGTTTCTTTAAGAAATAAAGAACTTGAGTTTCAAAGTGAATCTAAAACCTCCTCTGTTGGTTTTGGTTATAATGTCAAAGGAAATAATCAATTCAAAAGAAACAACAATAACTTTTCAAATAAAAACCTTGGAAAGCCAAAAGAGTACAATGGAAATTTTCATAAAGGTAAGACCAAATTTAATCATAATAATAATAAGGCTAAAGGAAAGAAAAGCTACTTTTGTGGAAAGATGGGTCACTTCTTAAAAGACTATATTAAAAGGATTGATGAACTGAAAAACATCAATAAAATTGAAGGTGGAGTTGCTATTGCTTATGAAGAAGCTGCAGGCTCAAATGGACAAGTTTATGTGGCTAGTCAATCTTTAGTCAAGCATGAATGGATCCTTGATTCGGGTTGTACATTTCACATGACACCCTGTAAGGAATACTTTACTGACTTTTCTAAAATTAATGAGGGTCAAGTAATATTGGGAAATGATTTTACTTATAAAATTAAAGGAATTGACAAAGTTGATTTAAAACTAGAAAATGGAAATGTATTGACTCTAAACAAGATTAGATACATTCACAAACTGAAGAGAAATCTGATTTCTTTAGGTGTTCTAGATGATGAAGGTTTTGATACAACTATAAATAAAGGCATTTAGAAATTACAAAAGAATTGACAAAGATCACTTGTGCTGAAAAATCTAATGGGATCTATGTTTTAAAAACTTTGCCAATGATAAAACAACCTATTTCAGCAGCAGTTACTCAGCCTGATAAATCTGAAATTTGGCACAAAAGGTTAGGACACGTGAGTGATAAGAATTTATACATTCTTAAGAAACAAGACCTTTTAAGAAATGAAAAAAATTGAAAGGGTGTCATTCTGTGAACACTGCATTTATGGAAAACAAAGAAAACTACCATTTGATATAGGTGTCCATAAATCTAAGTCTATTCTTGAATATCTGCATGCTGATCTGTGGGGACCAGCTACTGTGAATACTTATTCTGGTTTCAAATACTTCTTACTGATTGTTGATGATTTTTCAAAGAAGGCCTAGGTTACCCTTTTGAAAAATAAATCAAATGCTTTTCAAAACTTCATAACATGGAAAACCTTAATTGAAAACTAGGTAAACAGAAAGGTTAAAGCTCTTAGAACTGACAATGACCTTGAATTCTGCAATGAGGAATTTGATAATTTCTATAATAATAATGGAATTTTAAGGCACAAGATTGTCACCTATACCCCACAACAGAATGGTCTAGCAGGAAAGGATGAATAGGACCCTGTTAGAAAGAGTTAGTTGCATGTTAATTAGTGCAGGACTTCCAAAATTGTTTTGGGGGGAAGCTGTTAAAACTGCATCATATTTGATAAACAAATGCCCCACAAAATCCTTGAATTATGATACTCCTGATCATGTTTGGAGAGGTCACCCTGTTGATTACTCCAAACTGAAAGTTTTTGGTTGTGCAGCTTGTGTACACCAAAATGAAGGTAAACTTGAACCTAGATCAATTAAAGACATTTTCTTAGGATATGGTGAGGGTGTAAAAGGTTACAGAATCTGGGTTAAGGATCAGGGAGGTTACAGAGTCATAATCAGCAGAAATGTAATCTTTAACGAAATGGACATGCCTTGTACTAAAGAAAAAGCACCTGCAGCCCCTTAAATAAGTGAAAATGATTCATATCTTCAATCTAAAATCTCTCCACCCATCTCAGATCTTGAAACTAATGACCAGATTGAGGTGGATCCTACTCATGAACAGGAAATAGCCCCTGAACCTAAATTTGAACATGAGATTGAACTTGAATGTGTTCTACTAATAAATCCCTTAGAAGACTATCAACTTGCTAGAGATAGAGAAAGAATGGAGATAAGACCACCTGCGAGATATAATGAATTAGATTTTGTCACTGCCCTAAACATTCATAATTTTTTAGACAATGAACCTAATTCCTATGAAGAGGCCATTGGGGGAAAACAATTCAAATTCTTGGCTTGCAGCTATGAAAGATGAAATGCTTTCACTTGACAAAAATAAGACTTGGGTCTTAGTTAATAAACCAAAAGAAGGAAAGGTTATTAACTGTAAATGAATTTACAATATCAAAGAAGGTGACTCAAAATAGGGAAATGTCAGATTTAAGGCCAGACTAGTTGCTAAGGGCTTTAACCAAAGAGAATGAATTGACTATAATGAAATCTTCTCACGTGTAGTCAAATATACTTCTATAAAAATTCTTCTTTGCATTGTTTCAAAATTTGATTTTGAACTGGAATAGTTAGATGTAAAAATTGCATTTTTACATGGTAACTTAGAAAAAAAACTTATATGATCCAACATAAAGGTTTTGAACAAAAGGGAAAGGAAAACTGTGTGTGCCTTTTGCAAAAATCACTCTATGGGTTGAAACAGGCCCCTAGACAGTGGTATATCAGGTTTGGTACTTTTATAAAAGGTCTTGACTTTAATAGGAGTGAATATGATCCTTGCTTCTATTATAAATGTGATGGAGGTCCTAATTCCTATTATCTTTTGCTTTATATTGATGATATGTCACTTGCTGGGTGTGATGTAACTTAAATAAATAATATTAAGCAAAAGTTAAAACAAGAGTTTAAAATGAAAGACCTAAGACCAGCTAAAAGAATTTTAGGAATGGAAATTAGGAGAAACGGAAATGACTGCACACCATTTCTAACTCAAGAGTCATATATTTCCAAAATTCTATGTAAATTTGCTATGGATAAGACAAAAGAAGTTACCTCACCACGTGGTAGTCATTTTAAATTCTCTACTGAACAGTGTCCTAAAACTGAGATAGAAAGAAATAAGATGGATAAAATCCCTTATGCAAATGTTGTAGGTTCTGTAATGTACATTATGGTTTGCACAAAGCCTAATCTTGCTTTTGCTATAAGTGTATTGAGTAGATATATGAATAATCCTGGTGAACAACACTGGGAATGCATGAAATGGCTACTTAGATATCTGAAAGGAACTTCAAACTTAGGACTAATGTTTGGAAAAAGGAAAACTGGGATTAAACTAGAAGGAATTGTAGATTCTGATTTTGCTGGTATTTGTGATAATAGAAAATCAACATCTGCATATGTCTCTACTTTAAACGATACCTACATAAGCTGGAAATCACAGCTGCAAAAGATAGTAGCTCTATCTTCTACAGAGGCTGAATATATTGCAGCCACAGATGCTGTTAAGGAAGGTATTTGATTAAAAAATCTGTTGGATGAAATTGGCTTTACTGGTAATGATGCTTTGATACATTCTGACAGCCAATCTGCTATACATCTTAGTAGAAATCCTATTTTTCATGATAGAACAAAACACATAAATGTCAAATTTTATTTTATAAGAGACATTATAGAAAAGGATATCATAAAAATTGAAAAGATTTTCACTAAGTGTAATCCAGCAGATATGGGTACAAAAATACTTCATGTACATAAATTTAGGGATTGTTTAAAACTCCTAAATGTTATTTCTAACTGAAATTTCTTTTGCTGGTACATAAATCATATGATATCAAAGGAAGAGTTAACCTCTAGTCCACAATGAAACCTAAAGGTGTCCAGCAAAGTAGAGATTGTTAAGAATAATGCTTAACACCTTCAAACCCAATGATGGAACCCAACAGTTGAGCCCAAGTTTGTTTGTGACTTGGTTTGCCCCCACTTGTGCAGACTCGTGTTTCCTCCAAATGCAACTTTAGTTTGTTTTAATTGGATGGATCAGATGGTGCCAAGTGGAGTCGACTGAACCGTTGGATGCAAGTGACCTTTAATTATACTTAGCCCTAGACTTTTCACTTACCATTATGCGAGAGACTTCTAGGGTTATCTTTCTTTTTGCTCTCTGTAATTTTCTCTCTCGAAAAACTTCTGGCTTTTGGTATGCAATCTCTGAATCATTAGATGTTCTTGGTAAGATCTAGTTCGTGTACTTGGTGTAAAGATTATATCTATTCTTGGTTGAATAGTGAGGTTCGATTACTTGGTGTAATCTGTTTGTTCGATCTGTGAGGAAAAAAAAGGGCCTGAGGGCTGATCTTTTTAGATCTGTGGTTTGTAAACCTTGTACTGATATTCTATTGGTGGTTTCTAGTGGATTAGAGCGTTAATTACTTTGGTAGAAGCTCAACGAGGTGACGTAACCCATTTTTGGGTGAACATTTGGGCCTATGGGCGAAAAATCCTTGTGTTCTTTTATTTTTTCTGTGTTTTTCTTGGATTATTGGGATTGCTAATACCAACATATAGAGTGCCCTTGACAATGTTACATATGAAAAACTTCATCCGAATTAATGCACAAGTTATATGAAAAAGGTGCTAGAAATTTCCGAGAGGTTGCTTGCCTAAAAGACTTGCCACAACTCCCAGAAAGACATTAATTTTGTGATTTAAATAAATAGTATCAGGCAAAAGACACATGAAAGGGAAACGTGTTTTTCCACCATTTTGCATAAATTCCAGCTTCTTTAGCAATCAATTAGTCCAAGTTTTGAGATCTAAATGTAGCTACGTGCAAGAATGGTGTGTGGAAAATAGTCTTCAGCTAAAGATGTAAAACACTTGGCAACTTCACACCATTATTTGTTATCGGGCACCCCCATTATATTTTAAATTTCACACATTAATTTTGACCTGTTAACTTCGGTAGCATATGATGAAACCCCAAAGAAGCAAGCAAACGTACATCTGAAAGTTCATTCAAATGAAGGGAAGTTCTAGCAAGCTGGGTCGTAAGGATCCATCGCAATTGATCTATGGCATAGGTGTGGACAATGCAAATGGGTCTATGACTCGTGAACATTTTTATGTCACCTTGTTCCAATGTTCAATAATCTACCTTGTCAAATGAACTAAAAAAAAAATCTAGCGCTATTGCTAAAAGCTCTACTCACAACTCTTGTGCCAAATAGAACCTTAGTGTCCTTTTGACTCATTTCTTTCTTTGCACAGCCACAACAAATACTATAACACAAGGAAGGACTAATTAACAACTCTCTATTGAAAGCAAGATTTAAGAGGAATCAATTTCCATATTCTTCTGTTCTGCTGCTTTGAGTGGAATGCCCATAAAGCTAAAAAAAAGCATGCTCAAATGGCAGCTAATGAGTAGGAGATGTTAGTTGGTGATCCAGGATTCATAATCAAAATCCTCAACTTCTCTTTTTTACATAAACAAGAACCCTATTTTACAAAAGTTCAGAGTTGAGGAATAGTCTATAACCCAGTTAACAGTTAGTGGAGGAGGAGTGGAAAAGGGGACTCTTAAGTGGGTAGTTTTTGGAATTTAGCTCCAACAAGGAACAAGCTGCCTTTTTCAAAGCATGTGTATATCTTAACTCCCACTTCTCTTTCACCATTCATGCCCATGGGCCCGCCTCTGCGCGTGCACAGGGAAGCAGAGATGTAGACTGCATGTATCTAGGTGCCTTTGCAGCCACCAACCCATGTCACTAAATACACTTTTGCTATTTATTGTCTTCTGCTTCTGATTTTCTGTCTTTATTCTGCCATTTTTGTTGTATATGTACTGTTAAAAAATTAAAAACTGTCATTTACAAATCAATCTTACGTTGGAAAAGCTACAACCTTGCATTGTCTTTGCTTGTTTAATCCTTTCGAGACATATAACATTGGAACCAGTAAATCTATTTTGAAAATGATGGGCTACAAGGAATCAAAGCTTTTGGTATAAGTTAACTGCCAAGAATTTCATAGTTTGTTAAAGTAGCTCTATTATTTTTATTTATATATTGTCAAATTCATCAAGCAGGAATAATTTTAATCGATGTGACTTTCGCATTAACCATTATTTTTGGTTTTCTTCATTTTCGTTAAATGTAGAGGATCAAGTTAATTACTAGAATCAGGTAAATCGTCTAGTATTGCCGAACCAAATCTGAAACTACTTTGTTGAAAGCGGAATAACTTTGATATCAATTTGTTGAGAATCCGGCCAAATAATTAAAGAACGAGAAAAATATGGACAATATGAAAATAATGAATTACAAAGAAAACAAGATTGAAGTGGAAAACCAAATTCGCGAAAATCATGAATTCACTATAATCAATAATAAGGAGTTACAAATGGTCTCTTTGGATCAATAACTAATAGACAATTGGTCAATTCTAATTTATGTTGTACACCACATATTTGTAACAAAAGAATCCCTAACATACTAAGAATATTAATATATGAAGAGTTCAATATAAAGTGTGTTGCGGAAGCTCTCTCAAAAGATCTTCAAACGGTGGTTTTCCAGACTCTATCCAACGTACATTTCTCTACCAACAATCAATCCAAACGGCTCCAAACCACAACCAATTGATTCACCTTGGTTGCTATACAATCTTACCCACGTAGGACAAGAAAGGATGATGATTTATGGCCACAAAGGCTAAGAGAAGACACCACAAAGGTGTACTATGAAAGAACCACCAATTGCACACGTTATACAAGCGTTCTGGATACTTCTAGACACCTTTTTCTCACACAAAAGAGGGGCAGCCGGGATTCACTAGTTCGTCTCTCAAAATCACACAATCATCATATCAAAGAGGCTAGGGTTATATTCATATATATACTCTAGGGTTAGGCTTTAAGTTGGGCCATTAAAAGGGTAAATGGGCCAAGATTCAAGCCATCTATAAGGAATACAATTGGGTCGGGTATAGCTCATGGACTTGGTTGTTGGACTTATTTCATTTATCGGCCTATGCCTATGAAATAATATTAACCTACGTTAACATCATAGCCCGGGATTTATTGGGTAACAAAAACCCAACAAAGTGAAATCTTAATACAATGTGAAAAATCAATAATCGAGAATTTGGACTAAAATATGAGTCAAATTCACCTAGGACTCTTTCAAGACATCTTCGAATCTACTACCAACTCCCAATACTCTTCTAACAGTATTTCGAATAAAATACTCAACAAGAATTCGGGTCACAACCCAATTCTAACAAACTCCACCTTCGCACCAATTTCATTGCAAAGAATAAAATTTAACTCTTCAATTCCAACAAATTTCTCCAAACAAATTACTCAACCTCTTCGACCATGCCCTTTTCAAGCACACCATATCCCTACCGAACATACTCAACAACTATGAACAAATTTTAAACCCTATTTACTAGCAGAATTACCTTGCGCGTCAACCTTGCTTGAATCATCATGTTCATTACCAGCTCCAACCAAGTAACCAAACTTGCTCGAATCACCACGATCACTTTCAACTCCATTTTGAGTTGTCAAATCTGCTCGAATGACTACGAACAACATGATCAACAAGATCACAAGTAACTCAATCCGAGTTAACGAATTTGCTCGAATTATCCTCACAAGCAACAAGATCAAAACTCCTTACGTTGCTTCCCCTCCAGTGTCCAAACAAAAATCTGCCATAACAAAATATATTTTTGCGATCCACAAGCGGAATCTCAAATTTCATAGTTGACATTCTCAAAACAATTGTCTTGCTTCAACCTCGCTTTAATATCCAAGTTGGATCTCCCAAGAATTCGCTAAAAAACCTTCAGCTTTGATACAATTTGTTATAATTCAGACTAGATTTGAAACTACTTTGTTGAAAGTGAAACAACTTAGATACCAATTTGTTGAGAACTCGGCCAAATAATTAAAGAACGAGAAAATATGGACAATATGAAAATAATGGATCATAAAGAAAAAAAGATTTACGTGAAAACCCAAATTCGGGAAAACCATGGGCAAAGGCAGTGAATTCTCTATAATCAATAGTAAAGAGTTACTCTTTGGGCCACTAACTAATTGGATAATTGGTCAATTTTAATATTTGTTGTACATTACATATTTATAACAAAAAAAATAAATTCCTAACATACTAGGAGAATTGATATATGAAGAGTTCAATATAAAGTGAAATCTCAATACAATGAATAAAACCAATAATGGAGAATTTGGGATGAAATATGAGTCAAATTCACCTTGGACTTTTTCAAGACATTTTCAAGTCTACTACCAACTCCTAATACTACTTCAACAGTATTTCCAATCAAATACTCAACAAGTATTTGGGAGGTGACAACCCAATTCTAATACATTGAATCAAAACATAAAATAAAGCAAGAAAATCAGCGACGAGGTATTTTGTCATCAACTTGATATTTATTAACCATCACTCAAATCCAAGAACGTGTCGAGTGAAACACATAAGTTGCAGAAATGGCAAAATGAAGAACCTAATCAACTCAAAAGCGATAGCACTAAAGATTAAATGATGCAGTGGGATTTATAATATGTCCCTCTTCAATCACGTTACAGTTTGATATTCCATACCACCAAACATCAGTAATTATTATGTACAAATATTTGGCAGAGGAACACAGCCTAGTTCAATCGGCAGAAGCCTGCATCAGTTTCTAAGATAGATCGAGGAATGCCCTCCAACAAGCATGAAACCGGAGGAATACTTAGTGTCTGTAGTTCACCATATGCGTTCCAACAAATTGGATCCAACACTACGTCTCCTTTGGCCGGAAGGAGCTCTACATCTGAAAGTGTAATATTTGTGCATGGAACCGAATCACTACAAGCAAAATGCATTGGAGGACTTCTGATATCATATGTTCCCTTTATGCTTGTGTACTGAATGTCAGATAAATATACAGCCGAGGTGTGATTGGTGCAAGTTTTGCTCAGGCAGTAGAATTGATCGATTATGATTGGGTTCCTAACGTTGTCCATGTGAATGTTTTCAAATGTAACACCTGATACAGCTCCAGAACCTCCTTGCCATGTCTTGATCCTAACTCCATTATCTGAATTCTTTATCATACAGTCCCTAACCGTGATATTGGATGCACAGGCACTTGAATTGTGATTGCCTAAGCTCCCTATGCTGAAACAAGGAGTAAAGCTTTTAGACATCGTGGAAAAGGGAAAATTCATGAGTGTTTCCAAAAAGTACCATTTCATACCTGATTCCATGGCTTGGTCCACAAGTGACATTCTTAATGTCTACATCATAACAACCTGATCCTATTGAGACGCAGTCATCGCCTGGAATTTGGACAATATGAGTATTTGAAGTTGATGAAACGAAGAATATCAGAAGGATGCTATACTGACCATTGGAGATTATGGAATTATATATTCCGACGTCGTTTGTGTTCTCTATGTGAATACCGTCGGTGTTGGGACTCAAGGCTGGAGCACTTATGCGAATTGATTCTATATAGACGTCCCTGCAGTTGTCGAATCTGAAGTGGAATTGAGGGCTGTTTCTGATTTTTATTCCTTGGACTGTCAGGTTGTTGCTCATGAAGAATCGTATGGCCTAAAACCAAAATAAAAAATAAAAGTAATGCTCAATTTTCATCACCAAACAAAATAATGTTCGTATCTCTTACAATTGGACTATCACACGGTGTTGTCAAAGCCGTTTTGTTGGCTCCCTGTCGTTGATAAAGGCGATGTTTTAGCAGAATGTAAATTATACCAATTCGGTAGATTCAGCAAAACTATTACAAGTACCTTGTGAGGTTTGCAAGGAAGATTCCACCATTGCTCACCCCTACCGTCAATTAAACCTCCGCCTTGCAGTGCCATTTCATTCACTCTATAGAAAGCCAGCCATTGGCGCCTGCTATAGTTCTTTGGCCAGGAGTCGGGTCCATCAGGCGGCATAATTGTTCCATCATCCTTCGGAATGACACAAGAAGCATGCAATTGTCAAATTCATTACACAACGTTTCAAAGAAATCTTTGACGTAAAGGGACAACACCTGGAAAACAAAACCTCCCTGACAGGGACCGGTGAAAATTGTGGACTGAATCATGAAAGAGTAGCCAGAGGGAACAAGGAGGACTGCAGACTCAACTTGGCAGGCGGTGTCCCATGCTGACTTGAATGCTTCGGTGTCATCAGTTTCGCCATCACCAGCAGCACCAAACATTCTTACATCATAAACACCGGACCAATTTTGATCAGGAGAAGGGCCGGAAGCCTCAGGTGGAGGTGAAGGAGGTATTGAAATTTGAGATTCATGACGACGCTTGTGTTTTTTATGGTGGTGGTAGTGATATCTAGCCTGGCTAACGAACATTGTTGCACCAAAAGTGAAGTAAATACCTAGTAAAAAAACCCGAGATGACACCATTTTTAAACAGAACTGATAACAGATAAGGGTGGTGATAAACTGAAACCTCGCTACTCGCTAAAACTGATGTTTTCACTATCTGGAAATCAAGATTTATGGATGTTGACAAGTGGATGTAAAAGGATGCCAAATACTGGGAATTAAGTTGAAAGAAACTTGAAGGAGTTTTCCGTACGAGAATCGAAAGTGAGCACTATACCAAGTTGCTATATATAAACTGTAAACTCTGGTAGACATGCAAAAGCAAGAAGGCTAAGTTCACATATATATAAGATAAAAAGTGAAAAGTTGGTGCTAGAAGGAAGAATAATCTGCATCATACAAATTTTTTAAAGGAAAAAACCGACCAAGACATTGGCCTTTTGTTGGGCGGGAAAACCAGAAATGAGAACCATGTTCTTCCCATAACCTCCCACTTACTCTGGTCCCAAGACCTAGATATTACACCTGTCTGTCACCCTCAGTTACGCTTTTTTTTAATTAATAATCAATTCGTTGTTGGTCACAGTTTTTTCTTATATAAGAAATCAAGAAATACAGTCAGCCTATGTTCAGCATCTCCTAGGAAACAAAGATTTGCGTAAAGTTAGACTCAAGAGCCTTGCTTCTTGTACAGAAAAAAGCTTACAGAATACACACAATGGAAGGGTGAGTGGGGTTTTGTTGATAATATTTTATTTATATGGGGCCGATCTCCATATTAGTATCTGTAATGGTTATGTGAAGAGCTATTTTGTACAAATGGAAAATTCTTTAGACTCAATATAGCTTATTCTTATTATTCTATAAATATGTGATTAATTATTTGTGATTTCTCCTAGAATTGGATTCAGAGATTCAAAATTAATGTCCAGAAGTTTCTTGGATAAAGGTCCCCCACCTCAAGTTCTGAAAGTGTTGTTTCAATCTCAAACGTAAGACGGGCTAAAAAGTTGGTATAAAATTTCGAGCTTTCTGCAGATCTCATTCCAATTTGCAAACCTAAATTTGCATCAATGTTTTCTTCAAAAATCGATACAGTATAATCTTATTTAATTCTCTATATTAACATGAAAACGTATTCACCTTTAAGTAAAAGAAAAGCAGATAGATCCACAAATGACTTTGCTTTGAACCAGAAAACAAAGATGCATAAGCATAACCACACTGATCCACCCATGCCGGCCGACGCCCTGAAACATTGAAGTTTATGATATTCTGTGATACCAAAAAGTAAAAAGTGCATCATCAGCTTACAGCTTCAATGCCACAACTTTTAAGTAATCAAATACTGGAGTTGGTGAAACAAAGCACCGTGTCCTTTAAGATTTCAATTACCGTTCCAGCATGTTTGGCTGTGTTCAGGAACAAGATAAAGAAATTTACTTCTATGTTACTTCACTGTCAAAGATGATTTTTGAAGTTTAGTTTTATACAAATAAAACCTTAAGCACAGTCATAGACTTGTTCATCGAAGTTTCAAGTGTAAAATGTAGGTTGAGCAGGCACACTGTCCAGTCAATAAGGCTCTTGGCCTGCATGTACCAGTCAAGCATACCTTTTCAGAAAAAAAAAAACTAAATAAGGGCTCTCCTTTACTGCACTTTACCTTTCCTTTCTCTATAGGTAGAAGTAAGACCAACCCAACCTTGATCCTAACCCAAGTCTGGGCAGGAAAGTAATGAGATATTGTCTAGGACGACTTCTTTGTTGGCGAAAAGAAGGGTAGCATAAAGTTCTACAATTCCATTTTGGCAAAATTCAATTACTTCTGCCCAACACTACTCCTGACCCTTCCATCCTTGAGTTGCACTATGTTCATCTGAATCAATAAGTCCTGCTTGAATCAGAAAGCCGCGCCTATTTTCCTTCTTTAGTTGGGTCCAAGGTGAAAATTTGTATTGCGCCAATGCATGCAATTATTCAATAGTTAAGTGTTAATTTAGTAGGAATATATTATATACCACCTACTTTAGAATTACTTAACGTAAATTATATTCCTAACAAAATTGTGTTCGATAACAGATACACATCTGGCATGTCTTTCCCTTGTTAGTATTTGTACTGATTTTGGCGCACAAAACATGTCATATTCATTTCATTACGTTCATATGTGCTTCAAGTTCATTTTACATTGGACTTATTAGTTTGTTTTTTTACTCTTCGAAACTATGATTCAAATGCACCATTACTTTCTTGTCTCCAATTTTTCTACTGAATGACACCCCTTGGTGCTGCAATAAGCAGTATTCTGTCAATGGTATTTCTAACTTGGACATGATGCTTATTGATAAACGGCATGAAACAAACGACGCAAGTCCACTCCAGTAAGATATTAGAAGTGTCTATTTTGTCAATAAATGAATTCATTATCTTCACACGAGACAAAAGTCTTCACATTTTCAGTATCTATTATCAGTTCATTTGCATAGTTTAGGAACTAAAATCAGAGAAAGCCGTCAATCAGCAGAATAGCTTTTAGCAAACTTTGCAAACCGTTCCAATTCACGGACTAGCAAGCTTTCAAGAAAAGGGTTCCAATGCCTACATAAACAGAAAAATAAGTAAAATTTGTTGAATTGTTTCATTCATGTAAAAAGTGTATAAAAACTAATAAGAATGATATATTTTTATGGAACTTCTAAGATTTCACATAACAATTCATTTTTATTTTATTATTTGTTGTCAGAAAATATTTAGTCCTTTTAGCCATGTTTTAATGTAAGGCTTTGAATGCAAAGCAATGCCTTCTACAGTTGTGTAAGAATACTTACAGAAGCCACTGGAATCAAAAGTTGAGGGACTTCGTATGAAACAGTAAGCTGAAATAGAAGAAAATCCCATTTGTAAGGAGAAGTGGAGTATTTGGAGAGACGAAATGTGAAGAGAAACGAGAACATCATCTCTGATTTCAGTGGTTTTTCTCCCACCCAATGAACAAGCCAAGACGTAATTTTAATACTATTACATATTCCACATATGCATCCATTTATAAGGCTATACTGTAGATGATTGATCCACAATTATTAACTTAATAAAGTTGTGAGTTCAACAGTGAAAATGCACGACTGCGGGATGCAATGGAAGGTGATCAAGCACTAATATACAAGTGTATTTCACAAAGCAATACAAAACCCCCCAACAAAATTAGCATAAAGTGGATATTGTTAGAAGAAGTCATACTTCAATCAAGCACGAGGAAGTGCCTTTAGGAAAAAACCGCACAGCTCCCCTGCAACATAGAACTTAGTGTCAAGCACATCCCAAGTGTTATCTTGTTCATTTTATTGTTTTATTGAAAGATAAATATTCCTTAAAATCCTGAAGTACAGAATAACAAGGTTGCCCGTGGCCTCTTGTACTTCACACACAAAACAATGACAGAAAATCATGCAAATGGCACTGTCATGACATGATAAAAAATGGACTGTTCCCTTTCTAAGTTAGAGGAGCACAACAGACATAACCACAACCATTTTTGAACATAGAAGCAAATTAACATTAGAAAGACTGAAGACGAAAGCTAACGGCTCAGGTTTGTCATTTACATTCTCGTAACATCAACGCTGTGATCTCTTATGCATACAAATATAAAACTCTTTATATTATTATTATTATTATTTTTTTTTTTTTTTTTTATGATTCAAGTGCCCCAAGTTTCGTCCGACTAATCCCGAGGAGTGGCGGCCTTCCCTCCCCCCTGGTTCGCCATTCGCATAAATCTAGATACAGTCACAGCTTATATACACTTGGACTGGACATTTGGAAAGTGGTTAAAAAATTCTTTATATTTACTTTTAGCTTGTGACACATGTAATAAAAAGATTCATAAAACCTTTATGCAACCTGACAAATAGTCATTAGTTAGCAAATGGCACATTCAAGAACACCACTTCATTCAGTTTGGGAAGACTTGAAGAAATAAGTAGAAAATAAAACTTTCTCTGCAAATAGAATATAGGAGATGGGATTCAACTGGATTGTATAAAGATTTCTTTAATTCTTCTCTTTCTATATATTGTGTGAGTTAATGGGAAGCTTTAATTCCTCAAGAATCTTTATATGCTCCATTATAACACATTGTTGGGAAAATTTTAATTTGTCACGTGAGCTGCATATGTAATTAATTGTGCATAAGGTTATCGTAAAGTTAAGTCCAAAATTAAAGTGATCTAATAAAGAATTAAATAGTTGGGCTTAGGATATCCAAATAAAGTGTGGGTCGAATTATATGTATAAAGACCAAGTTCCTTTATAATTGTTATTTCATAATGGGCGAAATACTTATGAATATATGTAGGATTATGGTCACCAATTCATAAATAACTTCTCATTCTTTGTGTTATCCCATCAATACAAGAATACAAGAGAAAGCATATTGAAGAGAAATATCCAATACCCATAATCAAGAATCAAGGGAAAGAAATTAAAGAATCAAAATTATGAATCAAGAAGCAAAACCAATAACAAGAATCAAAGGAGACTAAATTCAAGATTAAAAGTGAAGAAACCAAAGATAAAAAGATGGCATTTCAAGTTTCAAAATTTAAGATTCGGAATTAAGATCTAGTAATAAATAATCATTCTCAAAGAATTAAGATATGTTCCACATTATTAATTTTCTTGGTGATTTGACATGGAGGATATTGGCAATAAAGGAATTTAGGTTTCAAGTTCTAAAGTTTAAAGTTTCAACAAGTGGTATCATAGTCGACTTCATGTTAAACATTGGGATTAGAGGAAGAATTTGATAAGCCACCTATACACTTCACATATTTTAGAAGAATCAAGAAAGGAGGGAAAACAAAATCTGTTGAAAAGCATGTGCTAGGAGAGAAACCGTTAGAAAATTAGCTATAAATAGAGTTAGTAGGGAAGGAAGATGGAAAAATTAGTAAGTGAGAAATAGAGTCTTGTGGTCACTGTTCTTTTCATGTAATTCCTCTGTTGTTATCGTTCTTCTTCAATTAAAGATTCATTTTAATTTCCGTTCTTACTTTCTTAGTTTGAGCCCTATCAAATTGGTATCAGAACATGTGCATCCTGATGGCCCAAAAAAAAAAAACAGACGGCAGGCTAGAATCCATGGAGAAAGAGATGGATGAAGTGAAGTCTGAGCTGCAGCGACTTCCAAGCTTGGAACGGTCAATGGAACAGCTGGCAGAACGTAGCCAAAATGATGCAATCATTGGAAAAGACCAGGAAAACAATTAAGGCACTCTCGAATCCAAGGGCAAGGACGAAATGAGGTTCAGAAGGCGGTGGATTAGGAAGCATTACTACAGAACAATTACCTCCGACCCTGCCCCCAGGGGTTGTAGGTGACCAACGAACGATAGAACGAGGAAAGTGGCCAGAAGGTTTAGGAGAAGTCAGCCAAGGAAGTGTAACAACTGCCGTAGATCATGATAGGGAAGTGGATAATTGGAGAAGGGTGAGGATACTAGAAATGGCCATTTTCAATGAGGAGGATCCAGATGGGTGGCTCTTCCGTGCGGAGAGATACTTTGAGATCAATTGACTGTCGGAGCCGGAGAAAATAGGAACAGTGGGAGTAAGTCTGGAAGGTGATGCCTTTTCATGGCCAGAATGGGTTGAAGCAAGGAAGCCGCTCCTGGAATGGTAGGAATTTCGAAACCAACTACTGCTACGTTTTCGGTTGACCCAGGAAGGCAGTCTATGTGAGAAGTTTTTGGCGGTGAGCCAAGGTAGGACGGTGGCGGATTTCAGAAGAGAATTTGAGGTTCTGACAGCCCCGTTGAAAAACCTCCCCAATGAAGTGCTGGAGAGTACTTTTGTAAATGGGCTCTTACCGAAAATCAGGGCTGAGGTCAGGTTATTGGGCCCAAAAGAATTGTGCCAGCTTATGGAAGTGGCCCAAAAAGTGGGGACCGAAACATGGTGCTTAAGAATGTTAAGGAACTCACAGCCCAAAAAAATCTCAAAAGCAATCCAAACCAAATCAAAATAGGTTCGTTCCCTACGAAGACGGTGATGGTGGTTGACAGATTTGTGAGCAGTCAGAGAGAAATACCTATTAAACGCATGTCTGATGCAAAATGGAGGACAAGGCGAGATAAGGACTTGTGTTTCCGTTGTGAGAAGTATACAGTAGGTGTTGTGCATGTGGCTCATATAGAGTGGAACACAGGTCCTGGATCAAATGGGCCGCTCCTCTCACTCCACTTCGCTCCGCGCCGGCAGCGGCCCATTTGATCCAGGACCTGTGTTCCACTCTATATGAGTCACATGCATAACAATCTCCACCTTGGCGAATATTCACCCCTTAGGAGAAAAAACATAACCTGGAAAAACCACACCATCTAAGACGAATGGGTTGGAACACATCCTCTCTAACACCTAGAGATGTTAATCAAGTTCAAACAGTGCTTGAACCTATCCATTGCGATTGGCTTTGTTATCATGTCCGCTGCATTCTCAGAGGTATGCACCTTCTCTAACAACAGTTTTCTTGAAGTAACCAACTCTCTTATCTTATGAAATCTCATATCAATGTGCTTGATTCTTGCATGATAAATCTAATTCTTCGCTAGGAAGATGGCACTTTGACTATCACAGTACAGTTTCATTCCATCTTGCTTGATCCTAAGTTCCCTGACAAGCCCTTTCAACCACAATAATTCCTTGGCTACCTTAGTTGTCGCCATGTACTTTGCTTCAGTTGTAGATAATGCCACAAGTGATTGCACCATTGATCTCCAACATATGGGCCCACCTGCGAATGTGAAAACATAACCTGTATGGGACCTTCTGTCATCCAAGTCCCCTGCATAATCTGCATCTACATATCCTTGAACTAAAATATCACCATGTTGCCTCTCAAACATGATCTCGCACTCCATTGTACCTTTCAAGTATCTGAAAATCCACTTTACAGTTATCCAATGCTCTCTACCAGGATTAGCCATATACTTACTAACCACACTGACTGCATGTGCTAAATCTGGTCTGGTACACACCATTGCATACATCAAACATCCAACTGCGCTGGCATATGGTACCTTTGACATCGCTGCAACATCTTCTTCACTCTTTGGGCACTGATTATTAGACAATCTGAAGTGATTTGCAAGTGGTGTGTCAACTGATTTTGCATCTAATATGCTAAACCTCTCTAACACTTTCTTCAAATAATTTTTCTGAGACACCTATAATTTTCTGGCTTTCCTATCTCTGTTGATCTCCATGCCAAGAATTTTTTTAGCCTGTCCCAAGTCTTTCATATCAAACTTACTGCTCAACAAAGATTTCAATTTGTCTACCTCATTCATGTTCTTAGCAACAATTAGCATGTCGTCTACATACAACATCAAGAAAATATATGAGTTAGCCTCAAGAACTCTGCAGTAGACGCAACAATCATACTCACAACGACTGTAGCCAATCTAAATCATATGAGAGTCAAACTTCTTGTACCATTGCCGTGGAGACTGCTTAAATCCGTATAAAAACTTCTTCAGTTTACACAAGGTTCTCTATTCCTGGTTCCAAAAACCCTTCCGGCTGTTCCATGAAAATCTGTTCCTCCAAATCACCATGAAGGAAAGCAGTCTTCACATCCAACTGCTCTAACTCCAAATCAAAATTAGCCACCATTGCCAAAACAATCTGATGGAGGTGTGTCTGACGACCAGGGAGAAAATTTCATCATAGTCTACTCCCTTCCTCTGTGAGTATCCCTTTGCTACTAATCGAGCCTTGTATCTTTCTCCTTCCTTTCTGTACACCCACTTACACCCTATCTGTTTCTTCCCCTCTGGAAGCTCCACCAAATCCCAAGTATCATATTTATGCAGTGACTCAATTTCCTCCGTCATAGCCTCTATCCATTTACCTTTCTCCTGACTACCAATGGCATCCTGAAAAGTTATAGGATCACTATTGCTAGTAATGAGTGCATAAGAAACCGAATCCTCGAATCCATACTTTGCTGGTGGCTTGATAGTGCGATGTGGTTTATCTAAGGCAACACTATGATACTGCTCCACCTTTGACCCAGAACTATCTGCTCCCTGAACATTAATTTATGTCTTAACATTGTCTAGCTCTACTTGCACCACTTGGCTTTTACCTCTGCCCTCGTCTAAATTGAGCTCCTCTTTATCTGTAGAAGCTTTAAGCATGAATGCTTCATCAAATACTGCATCCCTACTTATCACCATCTTTCTTGCCTCTGGATTCCAAAACTTGTATCCCTTTACACCTTTTACA